TTACAATAAATCAACCTAATTGATGTCACCTACAATACATTACCCAATTGGTGTCACTTGCAATAATTCAACCTAATTGATGCCATCTACAATAAATTAACCTAATTGATGTCACTTACAATAAATTAACCTAATCGATGCCATCTACAATAAATCAACCCAATCGATGCCATCTACAGTTCCAATCCACATCCACCAGTGTCCCCGGAACCTGCCCCTCCTCGCCAGGTCGCGCGGCGCGGGCGTGCCCCAACCACCAGACAAGTGAAGTGAAGTGAACCGCCGCCGCACCGCCAGGCCCCTCTTCCATGGCGACAACCCGCCGTTCGCCGCCGATACCCCCTTTTTCCCCGCCATGCCCCGGCCGCGCCAGCGCCTCGCGGCGCTCGCCTGTTTTCTCCTCGCGCTAGCGTGTCTCTACGTGGAATTGCGCCGCTTCAGCAGCGGGCTCCATCTGGCGTCGTCTTTGGCGCCCGGCGCCCGGGACGGCCCGTACACGCTCCGGTTCCCCGCCAGCTTCCCGGCCGGCGTCAGCAAACGGGCGCTCGTCAAAAACACCCCGGCGTTCCGGGCGGCCGGGCTCCGGTACTCGCACGTCCTCGGGGCACCGGTCCACAAGCGCCCGGTTCTCCCCGCCCCACGGCTCTGGGGCACGGCGGCGGTGCGTCTTTTTTCCGCCGCCGACATTGGGCGGGCCCCTCGGCGCTGTGCCGGCGCGCAGGCCGCCAACGCGTCCGTGGCCGTGGCGCCGGCGCGCAACTTGAACGCAGACTTGGCGGCACTCGTGGGCCGCGTGATCCGCGAGATCGACCGCGGCTCGGACGCGTACGTGCGCGAGCTCCGGCCGCTCGTGGACCCGCACGTCCGGCTCCAGGCGGCCTTGGGCGTCGTGCACCGGCACTGGTTCCACATGGCCGGCTCCTCGGTGTACTTGGCCGAGTACGGGCTCCACATGATGGTGTCGCGCGTGGCGTACAGCCCGGACGGGCTGCGCAACAACCCGCGCTTCTCCGTGGCGTATGCGCAGCTCTTCGACGGCGCGTGGGACGAGGTGCGCGACGTGGCGTTGGTGGTGCCCTCCAACATGGGCGCGGGCGCCCGCTTCTTCTCGGTCCAGGGCGCCAACTACACCGTGGCGCACTACCCGGCGATCCTCCCCGTGCCGTTTTTCCACGACCCCGCGGACCCCGCGTTGAAGTACCTTGGGCCCGAGGACGCGCGCGTGGTGCTCGTGCAGAACGCGGCGGGCCACCGCGAGCCGCTCCTCGTCTACAACAGCCAGCACCAGAAACACACCTTGCTCGACGACGACGACGACCACCTCCTCGGGCAGCCGGCGCTCTTCCGCTCGATGTTCGTGTGCTGGCCCTGGCAGTTCCAGCACGGCAAGGCCGCGGTGGACGGCCGCCCGACCGCCCGCTCCGACCGCCAGCTCTACAACCGCGTGAAGGAGCTCCGCATCAAGAACCTGCGCCGCCACAAGACCCAGAAGAACTGGACGCCCTTGCTCAGCGACGCCGCGCGCGCGCACGCGGGCCACGACTCGCACGTGCTCTTCGTGTACCGCTGGGCCCGCCTCCAGATCCTCCGCTGCGACATCTCCACCGACGCCGGCACGTGCGGCTTCGTGTTCTCGGCCCAGCCGCGCTTGAAGGTCTCCTCGCAGGTCGGGCCGCTCCGCGGCGGCACGCCCATGGTGAGCCTCCGCAGTGTGTTGGGCCTGGGCCCGGCGCCGCAGCTCGCAGAGTTGATCCCGCCCGCCAGAGAGGTGTGGGTGGGCTTTGCGCGCGCCCACCTCCACGAATGCGGCTGCGGCAAGGACTTCTACCGCCCGAACCTCGTCGTGCTCACGGCGGACGTGCTGGCCGGGGGCAAGCCCCGCTTCCGCTTGAGCCACCTCTCGTCCTTCACCTCGCTCAACGTGGACGTGGTGCCCTGGGACCCGCGCCGCCCGCTCGACGTCTGCGAGAGCACGAACGCCGTGATACCCAACGGCATCTCGGCATGGCTGGTCCATGGCGCCAGACAGACCTCTTCCGGCTGGGAGGTCGACGACTTGCTCTCCCTCTCGCTCTCCGTCTCCGACTGCACCGTCGACATCGTTCACATCCACGGCCTCCTCGGCGCGCTCGTCAACTTGGCCGATCCTCTGCCCTTTCTGCCGCCGGCCAGCGACGAGCAGGGGCGCGCGGCTGCTTTCGAAACGGCGCAGGGCGTGGGCGCAGACGCGGACACAGCCAACGACCACATCATCTGTGCCATGGAGGAGTCCGCCAACTTCTGTGCCTACTATGGGATGACCGTCGCTGACCGCCTCGCCATGGCCAGTATGTATGAGGATGACTATCAGAGTGAGAGCGAGGACGAGCAGATGGAGAAGTATAGGTTCGCCCTTGACGAATTGGGTTTGGCGTAGGCCCGTGTGCTTAGGGGGGCCTCGTGGTCTTTTGGTGGGCCTTTTTTTGTGGGCTTTTGGCCGGCCTTGGCTCTTATTTGCCGGTCACGGGTGCCTGTCCTTGCTGGTCCTCTCGCGAGGCAAAGAAATGACCCCATCAAGAGGGCCTAACAAGCTTGTATTTATCAAAAAAGAAATGCACGAATTCTAGATGGAGGCCATGCCAAAATGCCAACCGTGATCTTTGCCTTGTTAAAATTCTTCGACGACTGAACTGCTTAGAAAGCCACTGCAACTTACGTCCTCGCGTGTATTCACGCATTGTACGAAATTCCGGACATGATTCTATTCAACTGGCACCACAGCTTGTAATTAAGCACTCCTTTTCCAGTCCAATCAAGTGACTCCATTTAGTGTCGGCGGAAAATTATGGGCGTATTCGAAAATCAGTGTAAATTCCCGATTCTGTGCAATACAAAAACGAGCCGAAAATAAATAACAACGGGGTGCTGGACATTAATCAGGATGAGGCGGTTTCGTCTAGAGACTCGTCAGAAAAAAGGATAAACCTCCGATACGGGGAGTCGAACCCCGGTCTGGACGGTGAGAGCGTCCTGTGCTAGCCGTTACACCATATCGGATTCTGATGGTTGAATTGAATACAAACCTATTATATTGTATACATTGTGTACAAATATAGACGTCCGTCTGATTTTGTTTTCTTCGTGACACAAGGTGCTTCTGAACAATAACGGCAAGTAAATCCAATATGCCAATTCACGGTATGTTTTCTTCCAATTTCCAATACGTAAACAGATACGTGCCATGAGGACTGTCCAGGCCGTGACTAACGGAAGGGGACGGGCCGAGCTAAGACACTTGGTACATAGCTGGGAGCTGTTTAAAGGTTTTTGTATATATTCGTTACATAGTTTTGCCCCTTTAATCAGATGAATCTACCAAAACATTAGCGCAAGCTGTTTGTGATTTCTTTTACATTACGGTTTTTTTCCTTTCATCAGATGAATCTACTAAAAAAAAATAATTCAAAGGTTTTTTATAATTGATGATATTCAGTTTCACCAATCTGATAAATCTACTAAATACAATGGCGTGATATGGCACATGATTCATAAACTACTCATCCTCAACAGACTTAATAAATTTGAAAATAGGTGTGTACAGTCAGGCTCAAAGGGGAGGAATCACATCTCTGACCCTCTAGTAAATAAGCTGTAAAGGTCTTTATACAAGATGTATCTTATGGATGGCAGAAGTAAAGATTTTCAAGTAGTGATGTAATTTTGAACAGATGGTTTTTGAGAGGGTCGCGTCTTCTAGTACATTTTAGGCTGCACCTGGCACATTTCATCTGATTTAATACCGCGCAATAATTCAAGTTCTTGGTGTTTAACTTTTAATCTTACCTACTAGCCTGGTAACCAATTTTGCAGCTTTCTATCAAACAATTACAGGTTTCTCGTGAACCTCTGCTCCTGATAAGCTATTCGGAATCTTTGAGTGCATACATCTCCCAGTGTCATTCTGAACATGGCTTTTGGAGGATGAACCTACCAAGACTTATTTGAGAATCTTATGTAATACATAGTTCACTTCTTGGTCGTTCTACATACTTCGTGTCTTCAGGCACCTCCGGGTGATCATTTAACGAATGAAAACACAGTAGACAGAACCCTCTTCCAACACAGAGCCCTTTTTTGAAAACACGTATGTCCTATTCTCTAGCAATTAAAAACCTCTTCAATTTTTCGGCATTACTTTCTGGTAATATTTGGATTTTCAGGGTCTTTGTCACCTATTTCTATGAGTAGGGGTGCTGAAACATATGTGGTGAGGTCCAGAATATATTTGATGCGCGCCATACAGAAGCTCAGATGATTCGAATCTTCTCTCAGTCGAAGTTTTTTCAGGACCTGCTTTAGATTTCTCAGCTTTTTGGTGATTCTCACACCAATTCTCTCAGTTTAAAGGCTAAAAGGAGAAATTTGAGGCGTATACCCATGTCGTACAGAGCTCCCGTATCATTTCTCGAAATTCTGCATTTTCTGAGCTGAAAATTTCTTTAAGTTAAGTTTATAAGCACTGATTCAGTAGTTGAGACACTGAGTGAAATCTTTTATGTGATGTATAAAGATAAATGCTAGGAAGAAAGTGAAGATCGGAATTGAGTCTTATCATTCAAGCCAGACAGATGGGGACTCGAATGCAAGCAAAGCCGCATTGTCAGAGACAGACATTCCACTCTAATATTAGTGTATCTAGTTTATTTCCTTGAATCATCAGTATATACGCAGTTTTCAAGGTGGAGTTAAAGAGCCGTCGCTGCACTATAATATATATGCGGGGATACCATCCACTTAATCCAACAGCCCAATGACTCAGCAATTACTTTTTCTCATTCAGAGCGTTCTTTTCATTCACCTCCGTCAAATACTAGATCATCTCAGCATACTCAGGTCTGACCGGCAAGAGCAAAGGTGCGTGGTGAAGTTTGACATCCAAAGTCTCGGCCCAGTCAAACACCAAGCCCTGGTTCACCATGAAGGGAGCACCCACAAAAGCAAAGTCAATGGTTCCCTTTTCATGGAGCTCGTTGACCTTGACCGGGTCGTGCAAGCGGCCCACGCCTGGCACAATGGCCTTGTCGCCCACTGCTTTCTTGACCGCCTCGGACACATTCATGAACATGCCGAAATGCTTGGGCAATCTATCGGTATTCGCATCATTTCCTCCTCCCGAAACGTCAAGGACGTCCACGCCGTGCTTCACGACAATGGGGGCCAACCTCACCGAATCCTCGAGGATCCAAGCGTCCGGGTTGGAGTCGGACAACTCAGAGCCACTTCATCTCAAAACCACCGGGAAGCCCTCGGGCATATTGGCCCTCACGCAGTCAATGAACTCCAACAAAAAGCGGATTCTGTTCTCATACGACCCGCCGTACTGGTCGGTTCTCTTGTTCGAGTGCGCAGACATGAACTCGTTGATCAAGTAGCCGTGTGCGCCGTGGATCTCCACAAAGTCAAACCCGGCGGAAACGGCTCTCCTGGCAGACTCGCTGAACTTCTTGACGATCTCATGGATCTCTTCCACGGTCAACGCTCTAGGCACAGGGTACTGGCCGCCCTCTCTGAAAGGCAAGGCCGATGGAGCCACAATCTTGTCTTCGTCGCCCCTGGGGTCCCAGTCCTCCAAGTCCAAAAATGCGGAGCCCCCGACACCTTGCGTCCCGTGTGTCCAAGCTGGATGCCGATCCACGACGTGTTGGCATGGGCAAAGTCGACGATCTCCTTGAGCTTGGCCTCCTGCTTGTCGTTGTAAAGACCCACGTCCACTGTTGACACCCCTGCGTGTGGTATAATGGTTGTGGCCTCGACCATCACCAAACCAGCGCCTCTCAAAGCAAAGGCCCCGTAGTGGATCTTGTGGTATTCCGTGGGAATGTCGTTCACGCCTGTGTATTGGCACAACGGCGACACACCCACTCTGTTTGGCAATACCATGCCTCTGATTTTCAAGGGCTAGAAAATATTGTGTGTTTTCTCGTTCAAGTCCACTGCTGATCCAACCACACCTTCAGGCAATGGGTACTCATATGGGAGGCCGGCCGCGAGTTTGTATGGGGCGTTGGTGCCTTATTTTGCTTTTGGGAGTTCGAGCTGTGTCATTGGATGTAGATTCTGGATATCTGAAGATATTTGGGCTGCACTGCTCAAGCTTGCCTATTTTATACTCGAAACCCATTACTAAGCTGGACGGTAGTTGCAAAACTGCAGGGTTATTGTTGCAAACCTGCACACGGGCCCATCGGCGGTGTTTATCCACCTTCCGGAACTCACAAGCAATCATGAACAGGGCATGATTCTGGTGGTACCGATACATCCCAGCAACTAGCGAGCGGCCTTGTCTGTCATAAGAGTTTAGTTCCACTCGCTGTCAAATTATCTGTGTATTTTTCGTTTTTTTTTAACTTTCTGTCGGGTTGCTGGTTGCCGATGTTTATTTCTCATTCCTTTGTATAAGGTTGAACCAAAATGAGCTGATGATTATCAGCGGTTATTCTGAAGTAGTTTGCAGCGGATGCCTTCTGGCATGATAATCCGGAAAAACAGATGAACAGACCCAGATCCTTATCTTGCTCCATTTTCCTGTAATTTGTATGCTCTAATAAGGCTTTAATGGCAAAGGAGCCATCCCCGCGCATCCGAACAATATTTCGGGAAATCGAAGGCTTATTGCTCTGATATTCCCACGAGCGAAATGAGGACAGGCAGATTTTTCCGTCTGCTTTGATTAGTCAGAAACGCGATGGAGTCTCATTGAATTTCTCCGGATGCGGGGAATGTGTTACCATCCAGTCACGTGACGAAACTGAATCGACAGTGGTGCCGATAAATCCCACTTTTTCCTGGCAAAGACATAGTGGCATTCAGCGTAATATCCTTTGGTTTCTAGTCCCTGACAATATCCTCATAAACTCTAGGATTCGTGTGGTTGGAAATATGACGAGGCGAACATGTCGCCATGCACGTGACCTTGCGCCTCCATCAAGCGATCGTTGTATATTCCAAATCACATCTTAGCAGAAAGACAAAAGATCATGTATTGACTCTTTACAAATAGTCGCTTGTGGTCTTTTAATGGTCTGAAAATCTTCATCTTCTAATTTATGTGAATGAATTTCAGCTTTTTGAGAAACGCGCCTTCATCTTCATTTTATGCAATCCATAACCTTTTCGCGAGATTTTACGAATGCAAACAATTACATCAAATACTTCTTTTACATTCACACGAAAAAATCTATACCCTCTTGAAAATCCCACGTTGACTTTAGTATTGCAAACGCTGTGGAGGCTTGCTTGACCAAGTGTTGTTCGATCTATACTGAAGATGCTCAAAGTAGGGTGTATGTGGCCAACGACAAATGCTACCATATTTGATAGAGTGAAAAAAGCTAATCGAATTCAAGAGAGATACATCACATGTCATGATCGTCCATTACTTGAAAATGGGCGGGAAACACTAGTATCACATGCTTTCACAAGAGTGTTCAAACCAAACATTCAAAAAAAAAACAAACAAACAAACCTTGTTGACCCAAGATACTGACCTAAAACGGCATTGAAATTGAGAATAGAAGGTGTTTTGTTTATAATAAATTATTATTTTGATTCTATATCAAACAAGAAAAATAACAAAATGAATATTTGAATTGGAGGGTGTGGGATGCTCAAACAAAGTGACATCCAACATACCTGGCACATCACCTTCAGTAGCTCGTGTATAGTGTAAACGGTAATGCTGCATAGCCCCATGTATTGTACCAGGAACTTGACAGCTGAAAAAGATCTGGAAAGCCGTGCCACATGTGAAGCAATAACAATAATGGTGTCTTCAAACACAACTTCTCAAATATCAAATACGTTGAAAAATCTGTGAAGGTCAGAAACACATTAATGAACGTTTCAACAAAAGAAAAAATAATGAGCATAATTCATCCCTATTATTGAAAACGCCGATAGAAACTTCTCGCATGCAATCAGTTGGAAGTGGCCAAAGAAATTAAGCTAGAGCCAGGAGTAACGGGTGGGTTTTCTCACTGGGATTTGAGCCGGAATATCACGCTTTTGATGAACAAGAATTCACTGAAATTTCTAATTTTCAGCTAGTGCATTGTAGATTTTGTGAAACTGACGCTTCTCAAATGAAATAAAAAGTATGCAAGTAGCGCTTCTACCTAGACCTGTGCTGATTTCCAAAACTGGCTCGTTGCTCCAACAATAAAGTTTGAAAAGGGAAGCCCAATTCTTTCTTACTTACAAAGGGGCTTGATGTTTTTTTTTTCTTTTTGAAAGAAACACCATAATATAAGGTGTCACTGAGGAATACAAAACGCCCTCACTACCTAAAAGCTGTAAAGAAAGAAACCAAAAACAGACTTCAACATTGACTCAGATGAGAAGGCGCGAGCACCAATTTACAAAATGTCCCAAAGAAGATGTGTCCCCTTCTAATTGACTTCATAAGAAATGTCAGCCACTAGGAAATGCTTTCCTGAGAGCCCATGACCCAAATTTATTCTGCTTGATTTTCAACATGCCATGTCCTTTCAATGGCGTTGCCTGGATGGGCTACCAAGATGACAGGGAGGCATCACCCTGCGATATTTAGATGCCTCAACTCCCTGAAAGTTTGTGTTTTTGGGGTGAATTCCAAGGGACTAAAACATCCAGATTCAATGACTTAAACATATTGATGCTGTAACATCTCAGAGCATAAAGTCTGGCGACTCTTGTTTTCCAAGGCATGCGATACTATAGGCGCTGTTGGCAGGTAAGACTTTACTTTTTGCTATATTCATGAGATTAGAGTGCCATCCTATAAAGAACTCACCTGTGTCTCGAAAGAAGACACGGTAGGGATGATCGCACTTGCCACTGATGGATATCTGAAACGAGGTGTTCCTATTGTAAGATTGAAGGGTTGAACTGTGCGAAAGTGGATTGCAATCAAATGATGCGAGGGCGTAATCACGAGGCTCTTATGTCCCAGTTGTCGGGTCATGAATGGGAGGCTGGCTGTTAATTTTGTCCAGTTGACCCCTTTTATTGGAATACCCAAGCATGTCGTCAGATCTATGAAAAGATAAGATTTGGGGAATCGGAGATAGTCTTTGGACACCTATCGCTTCGACTAATAATACTGAACATAACGGAGCAATCAGGTCAGATTTTTATGAATAACTGTGAAGGGCTTTAATTTCCACTACAATGCGTCACACGGCAAGGAAAACCCTTATTGCCTCTAAATTTGAGGTGGGGGGGGGGAGCCCTTGTTTGTGTCGGTTTCTCGTTTTGTCTAGAGAGTTTTGGCTGAGTTTGAGGGGTTTTAGGCGATAAGTGGCTTGAATTCGCGAGAAATGAGAAAACCAGAATTTTGAAAATTTACGCTTGGTTTGATTGTATGCATAGAACTGCAGAATTGGGTGTGTTTTGGCTTTTATTTGCATTGTAAACTGGTCAACATATTTCTCTGCTATGCTCTTTGTTTCCAACAGGGTGGTTGGTGTAATGGCTAGCATTAATGCCTTCCAAGCATTAGACATGGGTTCGATTCCCGTACCACTCATTTTTTGCGGAATTTGGCCGGCATGTCAAAGTAAGCCGCCCTATGCACGAGTCCGAATCCCCCCTCTTTTGACCAAACAACGCGCTTATTTTTACACCCCAGACACATCAACGAAGTATGACACCTCACAGCACAGCACCCCTAGCGTGAGGTCACGTGCTCAGCAATGGGCTGCGGCCTCAAATTGCACCCTGGCGGTACTCCAGAAAAACACCAAAACCCAAACACAAAGCGGGCCAAAAAGTGGAAAAGCCCCTGAAAACATTAGATACAAATACCGGGAAGCTTAGCGACAAGTGTGCACTGAAGCGCGGCCAAACACAGGTCCACAATATCAAATGCTTTGATGAAGACAATGTCTGTCTGCAACATAACAATCAAACAATACAACAAACAGGCCGACAGACTAAAATACAGGCCTCACACGACAAACAGAACGGGAAGCCACGCCCTAGGTCCCCCCGGAAACGTGTCAAAAAATTCCCCGTTTTTGCATACACTGTTTGAAATTGTCCCATATCTCCATTCCCGGCGTCTCTTTAACCGCCCGAAAATACGCGCCCGTATGTTTCCCTTTTTTTCCTAAAAAAAAACACCGCGGCCCTAAAATCAAGTCCCTAGCCCCAGTCCAATTTCCCGCAGCTCCATACACGCCACCCGGGCCCATCGCGCACTGCTAATTTCTCACGCGGGCGTGCGCCAACCGCGCCAGCACAGGCGCCACATCGCAGCTCGAAATGTTTCTGCCTCTTTTCTTCCCTTTTTCTCCTGAACAAAAAAACCACCACCACCAGAAAAATATGTCTGACTCCGGATCCCCTCCCCCTTCCGACGTGCCACAGTCGCCTGCGCAAAACGCCGACCAAATTCCGCTTGAGCAGGCTGCGCCAGCCCAGGCTCCAGCCCAAAGCAAGCTTTTTGTGAGACCCATTGGATTTGACACCACCCGCGAGGCTGTCGAGGACCACTTTGCCAGCGCCGGTACCGTGGTGGACGTGCACATGATGCGTGGCTTTGCCTTTGTGTCGTTCTCCTCCAGCGAGGAGGCGGCCCGCGCCCAGGAGACCTTGAGCAACACGGATCTCGACGGCAACTCGTTGCAGATTGAGTTTGCCAAGGAGAGACGCGAGGACACGCGCGGCCAGTTCCGCGTCAAGGTCACCAACTTGCCCGAGGGCACCGCGTGGCAAGACTTCAAGGACTTTGTGCGCGAGAAAACCGAGTGCTCGCCCACGTTCGCCAAGGTTTTCCGTGACTACGAGTCTGGCGAGACCATCGGCAACTTGGAGTTCTCGTCCTCGGACGAGCTCGACAAGGCCATTTCCGTGTTGAACCAGGCCGACTACCAGGATGCCGTGATCTCTGCCGAGCAGGACACCTCGCCATTCGTCCCCCCAGCTAGAAGGGGTGGCTTCAGAGGTGGCCGTGGTGGCCGCGGTGACTATGGTGGCCGCGGCGGCAGAGGCGACTTCCGTGGCGGTTTCCGCGGTGGCAGAGGCGACTTCCGCGGCGGTCGTGGCGGTTTCCGCGGCGGCAGAGGCAGAGACGACGGCTTTAGAGGCGGCCGTGGCGGTTTCCGTGGAGGCCGTGGCGGTTACGACCGTGATGACAACCGCAGTTACGAGAGAGACTCGTACACGCGTGACAGATCCCCCACCCGCTACTAGGGAGCCGGTCAACCCTATTTTCACTTCGAGATGACTTGCTTTTTACGAACCACCACTTTGAATGGGAACGGAAGAAATTGGAAAGAAAACGTGCTCACATGGGAAGAAGAAGAGTCTGTTCCGAGAAACAACACGATGTATAACTTTGAATTAGATTAAGAAAACACTAGCTGACACCCACAGATTTCAGACTTCACAAACAGCACACGACGATATACTTTGTTCTGCACTTAACCTTCTTGTTTCACGGGATTTCTTTGACATGTGCACCAGCACTTTTATGTGATCAGCAATGGCTTCTTTTTTGAGCCCTGCGCCGCGATTACATTCGATGACCTTGATTTATACTGGGGAACCAGGCGTAGTGGATACATTTGACCTAATTGCTGAACGTTCCAGGGATTTGCAGCTAAGTTAAGTTATTTACTTTAGGATATGACGACACGCACTTAGATTCGACTTGAGATTTCCTTTCATCAGGACTAACGTGGGCATTGCTTGCAGGTACGGGGATGAACATAATCCTTGCTCATGTATCATTGACTGCATGAACTCATTCTCCATGAGAATCATAATGCTAGCTTTATTGGATATCGACGTCTGAATCCATCATCGCTTCAGATGTTCTTTTTCAGCTGGCCACAATGGACGTTATGCATGTTTGTGTGGCTTGGGGACCAAAATTTCTGGCTTAAGGCAGCTTTTGATCCCCAGCTCAGAAAAGCAAATGGGAAGCGGTTTATCACTCGTGACATTCAATACGGAGATGACAGAAGCAAATGCACGACACGACTACCAGTTCAATGTGAATGCTATGATTTGCACTCAATGGACTAGATATAATGTCACGATAAACCCAGAAACGATGTATATTCGACTTGAGTATATTTCCCGCGTACATGATTCGATGTATGACAGTCACCACGCACAAGGGATCTACTTCGGGGCTTCGAGCAGGTTGGCGATACGAAGGCAATAAATGACGAAGCTTTGATCGCGGACACTATGACGTGGTTCTTATCTGACGCGCGAGTGATTGAGAAGAAGCTTCGAAGTGGTAGCAAGACGAAGTCTGGTTCTTAACGATTTGAGGAAATGAGGTGCAAGCACACCCAACTTTCCCTTATTGGACTGATAGAGCCGGCATCGCGATGTCAATGGACATTTCAACAAACGACAGGTCTTACGACGCTTATCAAAAACGATGTTTTGCACTCGGAGGAAATACAATCTGACCGAAGTCCGATGGCAGTGATGCGCTTTCGAGCAAAGTTTGATATCGGCCCAACTAGATCTAGTCCGCATTTTTCCACAGTTTGCGTGTTTTGTGCAATCTGAGCCTATTCAACGCTTCTTTCATGATACCGAAACGGCACTTTTTTAAATGATATCGCGTCCTAATTTATGACCTAATTTATGGCCTAATTCATGACCTAATTCATGACCTTATTTATGACCTTATTTATGACCTAATAATTCATGACCTTATTTATGACCTGAATTAAGACATATTTTACGACCTGATTTACGACCTAATGTATGATCCAAGTTATAAGCTAATCGATGTACTGACGTACAGCTATCATTCTTTGACAAGTTTTTATCTTGCAGTTAACGTCAAGGTGACTCCAGAAAGCCTCTATGTGGTATGTGATTGATACATTTTAACATTCGTGTGATGTTTCCAACACCTAGCTCACATTTATGGGAGAAACTTCAGCGAAAGACCTGGTTGCTAATTTAAAAAGCGGAAAATTCCTGTTTGATCGAAAGCAGCCATCCTACGCAAGCTCATTCCTCAATATTGGCTTCTGAGTGGCAGCCAACAGTGACGCTGGTTTGACAGATTTTGCTGCATGTGTTTTCTTATTTCTAGGTTGTTGAAAGATGGTGGAGAAAAGTGGTCAGTTTATTCTCGTACATTAAAAACTTAAAATGGGTTAGTAAAGATGTCTTCTATGAAAAATAACATAACTTTAGTAAAATAAGTGACCATCGTTTTTAGCATCTTTTGATCTCCATTGATGATTGACGTGTGATTCTGATCTACCGACATTCAATTGTCATTTATCGACACGATAGTGTCATGTAATTTCATTCTTGACATCTTGACATCTTGACATCTACAATTGTTGGCATTTATTGGCATGTGATTATGATGTAGACCACGTTCAATGATACCTGATTGATATTTACTTACATGTAGTTGACATCGATCGAAACCCTATCGCCCATGTGACCGAAACTGGCACCAATGGACATCCGAATGCCATTATTGATAGCCAAGGCCCATTATTATGACGACATCATTTGCCAATATAAGGCTACATGTGCACCGAGTGATGATAATTGCACTGTGAAGAGCCCAGCCAGAATGACAACAGAACTTAACAAAACAGAAATAGAACCCGAGACAAGACTAGAGACAATACCAGAGACAAGGCCAGAGACTATACCAGAAACAAAACAGAAACTAAACCAGAAAAAGACCAGAAATTATGCCAGAATTAAAAGCAAAACCAAAAAAACCGAGAAACTAAACCAGTAACATAACCAGAAACTTAACCACAACAATAACCAGAAACATATTCAGAAACAGGACCAGAAGAAAAACAGAAACTTAACCAGAAATTAAACCAGAAAAAGACCAGAAAAAGATCAGAAACAGGACCAGAAACAAAACAGAAATAAACCAGAAATTAAACCACAAACAAGACCAGAAACAAGACTAGAAAAAAGACCAGAAACATAAACAAGACCAGGAAAAAGACCAGAATCAAGGCCACAAGCAAAACAGAAACTAAACCAGAAAAACCAGAAACGTGTCCAGATATAAAACCAGACTCAGAACCAGAAATAAAATGAGAAACAAGACCACGAACAAGACCAGAAACAAAATCAGAAACATGCCCAGAAACAAGACCAGAAACAAGACCAGAAACATAACTAGAGAAAGAACCAGAAGCAAAACAGAAACTGAACCAGAAAAAGACCAGAAATTATGCCAGAATTAAAAGCAAAACCAAAAAGACCGAGAAACCAAACCAGTAACATAACCAGAATCTTAACCACAATAATAACCAGAAACATAATCAGAAACAGGACCAGAAGCAAAACAGAAACTGAACCAGAACTCAAAACAGAAAAAAACCAGAAACAAAACCAGAGACAGAACCTGAAATTAAGTATGAAACAAAAGCAAAACCAAATAAACCCAGAAACTAAACCAGAGACTGAACCAGAAACTAAACCAGTAACATAACCAGAGACGTAACCACAATAATAACCAGAAACATAATCAGAAACAGGACCAGAAGCAAAACAGAAACTACACCAGAAACTACACCAGAACAAACGCAAAACAAACCAGAACCAAAAAACCCAGAACTAGAAACTGACCCAAAAAAGCACCCATGGCTGGCATCCTCGCGCAATCCACCCTACTCCCACCAAAAAAAAAAAACCTCTGGGCTTCTGGCAACCGCACCCACCCGCCGCGGCCGCGCATACCCTATATATCTTTGGCCCCACGAACCTGCATTCCCCCAATCCCCCAACATGGAGATTTCGTACGGGCCCCACGCCCTCCAGAAATTAAAGGTTTTCCACCACTCGCCTCTCAACAACCACACCTTGCTACTTGTCCACGGCGGGGCCTGGAACGACCCGCTAAACACCTACGACGATTTCCAGGACTTGGTGGGTTTTCTCCAGGCGGCCGGCGCCGGCGGCCTTGTAAACATCGTAGGCATCAACTACCGCCTCACGCCCGAGGTGTGCCACCCGCAGCATTTGCACGACGTGCTAGGCGGCATTTCCAAGTTGGTGCACGAGCTCGGCGTGCGGCGGCTCCTGGTGGCGGGCCACTCGGTGGGTGCCACCTTGGCGCTCCAGCTACTAAACTACAGGCAAATCATGGCGGACGGGGTGCGGGAGCTGCAGAAGGCGGGCCGGGCCGTGGAGCCGGTAGCGCCCGTTGCGGAGTTCACGCTCGACACGCTTTTTTTCATTGACGGGATCTACGACATTGCGGGCCTCGTATCGGAGTATGGCGCGCCGTACGCGGCCTTTGTCGACCGCGCGTTTGTTAGTGAGCGGCAGTACCGGGGGGCGGTGCAGCCCAGTTGGCGGTCGCCGGGTGCGTTCGAGTTGTGTTTCGAAAAGGCCGTGGTGGTGCAGTCCACGCAGGACGAGCTTTTGAGTTTGCGCCAGACAAAGGGTTTTCTCGCGTTTTTGCGTGGGGTGGGGGTGGACTGCGAGTACCACCAGGAGGCCTGGGGCCGGCACGAGGAGGTGTACCGGCGGCGCGAATTGGCGGCGGTCATGGTGGCGGCGCTCACGCGCGGTGGGGGAAATGCGACGAATCATGTACGGCCAATGGGGGGAGAGGGGGGAGAGGAAGAGAGGGGGAGGGAGGGAGGGTGAGAGAGCATTGGTATTTGAGACCTCAAGCGGGCTAGCTGCGAGAAGTGTTGGGAAATGTCGACGCAGAGAATGAGAGAGAGGGGAGAGAGATGGGAGAGAGAGATGAGAGAGAGAGGGGACAGAGATGGGAGAGAGAGATGAGAGAGAGATGAGAGAGAGAGATGGAAGCAGCAGAGCTCTATAATAATTAGGAGCTGAGCAGCTGGGGTGGTTGAAGAATCCATATAGACTACAAACATTGAACAGAAAGCGGCCCTCTGTAATATCGTAAGAGGAAGGAGAAGCATGAATTTGAAAGCAGCAAGGCCATAGATGGGAACCTTCAGCATGTGAGGAAGATGGAGGGAAGTGCCTGACCGACAAACACTTGGGGTGTGGGCAGAAGGGGAAACAGAACGCAGCTGGTATACTGAGATGGGGCTATCCAAGAGCAAGACTTGGTGGACGAGAATATCCAAAGAGTCTTGGGACGACAATTCCAAAAGTCTTGGGTAGATATCCAAAAGTCTCAGGACGGAATATTCAAGAGCAAAGCTCAGTATACGAGAGTATCCAAAAGTCTTAGCATACGAGAGTATCCAAAAGTCTTAGTATACGAGAGTATCCAAAAGTCTTAGTATAGGAGGATCTCCAATAGTCTTCGTATACATATCCAAAAGTCTTAGCATACGAGAATATTTAAAAGCAAAGTCTTAGTAAACGAAAGTATCCAGGAGCAAAGACTTGGGAGACGAGAATATCCAATTCCAAGACACTCATTCCAATCCCATACTACTCTCATTAGAATTCCGTAGTGCGCTCATTATTCCATGATACTCTCTCAATTCCACACTCCTCCCATAACTACACACTACTCTTATATGGTTCCATACTGCTTTTATATGGTTGCACACTACTCTAGTATAATTCCACCCTACTCTTATATAATTCCATGCTACTCTCATGAGTTCATACGACTCTCACTAATTCCACACTACTCTCATAACTACACACTACTCTTATCAAAATCCACACTACTCTCAGAACTCCACACTGTTCTCAAAATAATTACAAAAGTCTTAGAACGAGAATATCAAAAGGTTTAGCATACGAGAATCTCCAAAAGTCTTAGCATACGGGACTATTCAAGAGCAAAAACTCATCAGACTTGAGAACAGTTGATGAGATATATTGGATTCGCTGATGTAGAGAAGCAGCTAGCGCAACTGATGTTGAAAGATTTTTCCGAGGGATACAAATTCAACAAATCTCTTGAAAGCAGCAAAGTCGTCTCGGAGATTGGAAACAGCTGTTGGACTGAAAATAGAGATATCTCTAATGAGCGGAATTCCGAAATGAGCAGATATATCTAAGATGCAGACAGATAGAGAACATCCAAGGGGAACCAATTGAACAGGGAAGAAAATTTCGAAAGAAGCGAAGTAAGTAAGTAAATCTTGAACAGAGAAAAAAAAAAACGCTAAAGTGGTGGAGATGCATTGAGAAAATTCTGGTAGGAAATAACTAAGTTTTGAGAAGAGTTTGAAAGAATGTGCTGAGGCGAAAAAGAAACAGCAACAGAGAGAAGTAAGCGGAGAATCATATGTAAGCCAAAAGGGAGCTTTTCAAAGAAGTGACCTCTTAAGATGGGCTATCGGCGTGCTACAGTAATTTGTACAGTACATCTTCTAAACATAAATATAAATTTAGATATAAATATAAATATATCGATTATGGATTATAGTCTGCAGTTGGACTGTATAAAAAGGCAATTGCTAGTAGTCGTAGACAAGAGCGAATCGGTGAATTCAACTGCTACTCCACTAATCACTCAACTATGAAATCTTATGGTGCATTATAGGACAAGCTGTAAGTGGAGATACGGTTTGGGTAGGGGAACCTGGTCGGAAAACATTACTTATTCATATATTGGTTTTGCCTTCTTTAAGGTCCCCTTCCTACTAAATTCAACTTATTATGAATTATTTTGTATTTTTTTCCCTTCAAACTTTTACTTAAATCTTAATAGATTTCATGATTCATTTGTTTTGCTTCATTAAAATTCTTCAACTTTGTGATCTAGTTGAAACCGCGAATCGCATTTCATCATATATAAGTCTATGGTGAAGAAGAGTCAGCTGGATAGAATGGATCTACTGGGGGACTTGTATGGGATGAAGAAACATTTCAACGGAACTATTTAAAGCATCAAAACCATACCGATGATTCGAGAACGTCGTTGCAATGCTGAAGAGAATTAGGGAAATCTCTGAGGTGACGGACACAGTTGAAAAGAAATAAGAAAGACACGTCTGGACTGGGAAAAGCCGGCTGAACCATAGAAGTTAGGGAGCAAAGAGAAATTTCAGATAGGATTATTGAAGGATGTGAGGACATGTTTGTCATATCGAGAAATCAGCTGAACCGCAGAAGATATAGCAAGAGAGTTATCTGATGTATGGAAATATCATTGAAGGAGTATGAAAGAGGAGTCTGAATTAAGGAAAACCGCTGAGCAGGAATGATTTGGAAGGGGGTCTTAAGTGGGAGAACAACAGAACAGAAGAGGTTGAAAGATGGTTGAAATGAAGAGAAAACAACCCAATCAAGAGACTTCTTAGAATTGTCTGAAACGAAAAAGACCTATTAAAGAAATGAATCAAAAAAGGTTCTGAAATGAAAAAGAAGAACAAAACGAAAAAAAAATATGTTGGGAAAAAAATAAAAGAGGGTTCGGAAATGAAGAGAATTGAACAGAAATGGTTGAATGTGACCTCTGAAACGGAGAAGAAGCAGTTGAACAGAGGAATTGACAAGAAGAATCTGGAATGAAGAGAAACAAGTAGAGAGAGAAAGCTAAGACAAAAATCGAAAAGAAAAATTTGAACAGAAGAGGTTGAAGATGATTCTAGAAGAAGAAAAAGCCGTTGATCAAGAAAGGCTTGAAAGAGGGGTCTAAAAAGGAAAAGAAAACAATGAAACAAAAGAGTTTGAGAACAGTCTCTGAAAGAAAGACAAAACAATTGCACAAAGAGATTTAAAGGAATCCTCTGAAATAAAGAGATATCATCTAACAGAAAGATATAGAAGATGTATCTTCTGGGAAGGATAAACAATTGAACAGAAAAAAGGGTTGGAAGAGGACTCTGGGATGAAAAAACAATGAAGCAAAAGAGTTTGAAAAGGATTTCAAAAAGGAAGATAAACCATTGAACAAAGTGCTATATTGGAGGTATTTTCTAAGAAGAATACACTATTAGACAGAAAAGGTTTGGAAGAGGACTCTAAAATGAAAAATCAACTGAACAGAAAAGATTGAAGACAATTGCTGAGATGAAGAAAAAACAATAGAACAAAGAGATTTAGAAGAATCGTCTGAAAGGAAGAAAAATAATTGAATAGAACGTCAAAACAGCTGCACAAAAAGATTTTAAAGAGGAATCTGAAACGAAGAAAAACAATTGAATAGAACGTCAAAACAGTTGCACAAAAAGATTTTAAAGAGGATTCTAAAACGAAGAAAAAACACTTGAGTGAAGCAGGCGTGCCGAATCTGAGTAAGAAAAACAAACAAAAAGAAATCAAACAGAAAAAGCTGAAGAAGGCTTTGGAATGAACATTCAGCTGGATGGACCGCCCCAAGCTGCAAAGATCTTAGGGCGCAGAAGAAACAAGTCGGGGCACAGAAATTAGACAAAAAGAAGCAGCAAAATTGGAAACGGCAGAAATTCCCCGAAGGAAGCATATTTCTTGGGCCTTGATTCCGGGCCTCGATTCCGGGCCTCAATTCCGGGCTTCGATAAAGCCGTTGTATTAGGACACCAAGAATCGAGTCCATGTCTGGCCGCGCGCATGGACAGGCAAAGGCCGAGAGGAGGAACAGAGAACATGCATTGATTGCAAGCAAAAAAGACACCATAAAACACAATGAAAACGCCAGGAAACACAATAAAAACACAGTGAAAACACAACCGAAATAGAAGAAAGCACAACACACCCACAACCAAAGAAAAAATAAAATAAAAAGACGTCAGCGGGATTTTTCGGCGGCGTGCAAGGTGAACATTTTTTACTGACCGGAAACTGAGACTGGGGCAAAGCGGCCCTGGCAAAAAGGACGGTGCACGCAGTGACAGAGCACGCCAAAACAGCACCAAGAACAGGGCAGCAGAAAAAAGACCAAACATCGAAAAACACCAAGACCCAAAACCCAAGACCCAAAACCAAAAATCCAACAGACCCAAAATCCAAAACCCAAAACCCAAAACCCAAAATCCGAAATCCAAAATCCAAATGTCCCACGCATCCATTTCCCAGACCTGCCGGCACCCAATTCCTCCCCCAGGCCAGCTCCGGCCCCATGCACGCAGAGCTGGCAGCGCACCACGGTCGTGCACACAGCAACAAAATTTTCCACCTCCCAAATCTCAGACAGGCCCTGGCTTCAGGCCCAGCCCTGGTCCAACCCTCACAGAACCACGGCAAAAACACCCCAAAACACCCCCCACACACAGCATGAATCAATCCTGGGCCGACGTCGAGGATGACATCCCCGTGCCGGAAATCACGGCCAACGCCGACGGCACCAAAACCGTGGTCAGCTACCGGCTCAATGCCAGCGGCCAGAAAGTGAAGATAACACAGAAAATCAAGGAGGTCAAGGTGCGCGAGCGCGTGCACCCGCTGATCGCCGTGCGCCGAGCATGGACCAAGTACGGCAAAGAGAAACACACGCCTGCCGGGCCGGACACCCGGACCACGCAGCTCGGCGAGAAGGTGGAGTTGAAGCTCGCGGCCTCGTGGAAGGAAATGGAGAAGAAGGAGGAGGAGGAGAAGGCCGAGGAAAAGGCCCACTTGATCAGCACGCAGAGACTCAAATGTAGAACGTGTGGCGGCGACCATTTCACCGCCAAGTGTCCGTTCAAGGAGACCTTGGGCGCGGAGGCGGCAGGGGCTTCTGCCACGCCGGAGCCCACCGAGCTGTCCAAATACGTGCCTGTGCATTTGCGCAAGGACGCGCCGTCCAGGGAGTCCCGCGACGACTCGTGCACGTTGCGCATCTCGCAGTTGAACTCGTTCGTGAACGAGGACATGATCCGCGGCGAGTTGCTTGCCAATCACGGGCCTTTGCAGAGGGTCACGCTTATCACCAGGAGAGATACGGGCGAGTCGAAGGGCTTTGCGTACGTGACGTTTGCCACGGAGAGCCACGCGCAGAAGGCCTTGGACGATTTGAACGGCAAGGGTTACCACTCGTTGATCTTGAAGTTGGAGTGGTCGCAGAAGAAGAAGGTGTAGAGGCGCCCCGGCGGGCGGCCACACACGGCTGCGGAGAAGGACGGGCGGCGGGCGGACCGGCAAACTGCAGACCACGCGGGCCCCACGAGGCTCGATCTGCCGGGGCCCTGCCCCGGGAGGCACATGTTACATATGCCGCATTAATGCTTTTGCAAGTAGTCCAATGGTACAATACGTATGAGTCTGGTGCGGCGGCGTGTGTAGTGGTGGCGGCTGGGCCCGGGGCGAGGGCTCTGGTTCTGGAGTCTGGTTCTGGAGTCTAGTTCTGGAGTCTGGTTCTGGAGTCTAGTTCTGGAGTCTGGTTCTGGAGTCTGGTTCTGGAGTCTGGTTCTGGAGTCTGGTTTTGAATGTGGTTCTTGAGTCTGGGTCTTGAGTCTGGTTCTGGAGTCTAGTTCTGGAGTCTGGGTCTTGAGTCTGGTTCTGGAGTCTGGTTCTGGAGTCTGGTTCTGGAGTCTGGTTCTGGAGT